TAGGTGGTTGCTAGGGTGTTCTGAAAGGTCGTCAGGGTGTTGCTAGGTTGTTGTTAGGTGGTTGCTAGGGTGTTCTGAAAGGTCGTTAGAGTGTTGCTAGACAGGTGTTCTACATGGTTGCCAGGGTGTTGTTAGGTGGTTGCTAGGGTGTTCTGAAAGGTCGTCAGAGTGTTGTTAGACAGGCGTTCTACATGGTTTCCAGGGTGTTGTTAGGTGGTTGCTAGGGTGTTCTGAAAGGTCGTTAGGGTGTTGCTAGGTGGTTGCTAGGGTGTTCTGAAAGGTCGTCAGGGTGTTGCTAGGATGTTGTTAGGTGGTTGCTAGGGTGTTCTGAAAGGTCGTTAGAGTGTTGCTAGACAGGTGTTCTACATGGTTGCCAGAGTGTTGTTAGGTGGTTGCTAGGGTGTTCTGAAAGGTCATCAGGGTGTTGCTAGTTGGTTGCTAGGATGTTGTTAGGTGGTTGCTAGGGTGTTCTGAAAGGTCGTGAGAGTGTTGCTAGGTGGTTGAGGCACGTTCTGAGTGGTTTTCAGGTTATTGCTAACATCATCTGGATATTCAAACCACTCAGCATAGACTCACTGTCTCACTGACGGCAGACATTCAGCACTGATTTTGTGAGCTGATGATCCAGTGGATAATGACGGCTCTTTTGTTCATGTATGAGACAGATCTGCAGATCTGAACCTCCTCCAGAAACACACTGAGAGACGAAAGACCGAGACGCACTGAGTCACTCAATACTGACGGAAACGGTTTGTTTGTTGTTTGTGTGTGTGTTGTATTTCAGTGGTAAAGCTGAAGTCGGATGTTAATTGCATCTCGTCTAGTCTCAGTGAATCTAAATGATGCTGTTTACATGACATTTACCTACTAAACACACAACGATCACAGCAGCTCCTTCACCTCGCAACAATGACAACATTATTTAAATATCACACATCAAAACAACCAGCATCTCAACAAACCCCAATAAAACTCCAGCATGATCACACACACAGTGGTTTCCATGCTTTATGGGTTCATTCCACAGGTGTAATAGTTTTTCTACTGTACAAACTGTATTTTCTATCCTCTTACGCTAACCCTACCCCTCACACAAAACTATAGGCATATTTAGCTTCTCAAAACACTTCATTCTGTGTGATTTACAACTTGTTTTACTCATGGGGAACAAAAAAAAATGTCCCTACAAGGTCAAAATTTACTGGTATTACTATCCACACACACACACACACATCTGTCTGATCTCTGTGGTGCTTCACTGTGCTTCTGAATCAAATGTAGAATCAAACTCTACACTGATCCATAATCCACCAGCTCTAAACTACACCGGTTTGTATCAGATGAAAGCACAGAGCTCAACAACCACACCTCCGAGGAAGATCTAATCACCGGATTTGACCATTCACAGAGACTGTCAGGCCATTATCTGAACTAAATCCTCCACTGGAGTCTATTATCATCATCAGTTTCCAAACCGGTGCAGACGAGACTAACCTGAGTTCAGTGGACACATGAAACACCCAAACAGACACAGAGACGAATCATTTCAGCACACACACCGTCTGACAGCCGGACAAACACCTTCAGAGCCGTTCTGATCTTAATAAAAGACGCCTGACATTTAGAGACATTATTCACTGCTGGAGCTGAAGAAACGCCAGAGCACAGAGGAGAAGAATACAGCTGAGGACGAGAGACACTGAGAGAGAGAGAGAGAGAGAGACGGGTCATGATGTCATCTCTGCACATAAACACTGAGGCTGAAGAGGTCGAGCGAAGAAAACAATCACAGACCATACAGCGTTCAGTCGACCGCTTTCACATGAAGTCGCACTGAAAACACAGTCACCCCGTCATAATCTGACAGCGGATCATCCGGCACGTCAATCACAGGAGGTGACGTTTCACCCTGTATTGATCTGGTTTGATTGATCTCTGTCTGAAGAACAGCAGGAGACGATCAATGCAGGTCTACAGCAGCTCTACAACATCACAGCAGCCTACAAACTTTACATTTCATCGCCTCCAGCTGAGCTCAGATCATCTGCATGAACGGAGGACGACTGAGACTTAAAACCGCCTCCCAAAATGAGACTTCAAGCAGCACAACAATTCTGGAATAAAACAAAAACACACAAACTGACCACGTGAGCTGCGTTTGTGGTCATACACTTGGAATTTAAAGAATAAATTCATATTTACAATGATACAAAATATACACAACGATACGGAAATAACATCCTACTTACTTGATTATTTAAATCTCCAGTTTTAAAAATAGAAAATAGAAGCACTACATTTGAAATGATTTTCTGTTTTGCATTTTATCTGTAAAAATGATGGATGTCATTAAAACTGGGAAAGTTAGCAGATATAAGTTAATGCAACTTCTTATTTGCATAAGGTAAACAAACTGCTTGGTTTATAATTTGAATGTATATAACTGTATATAATACATATTTTAAAATTGCATTGCATACCTGTTGCTGCCATAATAATGGCACATTCCAAATGTTCACATGCATTCCTTCCTTTTTTTTGTTTGCTTTTGTAAATACTTCCCGCATTGCAGTAATAAAAGTGTGCGCCTTTCAAATGCATGCAAATTACAGCGAGCACATCAGTTACTGTACGGTGCTTGGCAGGAGTCTGGGGACTTTACGCTGGTGGTTGGAGAAAACACTGAGATTTTGGATTTGGACTGCAATAACATCACTGACTGACACTGAAAATGGCTGGCCACATCTGAGATAAAATAACAGACATTATAAGAGAAGCTTTAAAAGGTGTAATATCTCATACACACTGTAATTATATTCTCAACCTCAGAGCGAAAACACACACAGACTGAAGCAGACGGCCGCTGATTAATCATTATATTTTCATCACCGAAGACGATTCATTATTATTCAGTTTTGCTGAAAGTCACCCTGGGAAAGAGAAGATGTTTAGCAGAACAACACGTGTCCCGAGAAGACGCCATGAGACGCTTACAGCACATTCATCCTCACACAAATACAGCCAATCAGATGAACCGGGCTTAATATGCAGGTATGTTGAGCGGGATGTGGACCAATGAGATGTGAGTGTGGGCGGGGCTAACCAGTGCAACACTGCAGAAATATTAACCACGTGATCGACAAAATGAAATGTCCTGTCACTTGTCATGTTGACACACAAAAAACTTGGGTCTGGTTAACACATACTAAACTAAAACCATAAATAAAATTAAAAAATTAAAAATATAGAAACATTTTTGTAACTTGAAATAGTCTAAACATTAAAAATAAATTTAATATTTCAAAAAATATATATATTTTATTTCAGCTAGTTGTCAAAGCAATATTTCTCATTTTCATTCAGTTTAACTTGATATACTAAAATATATGGAAGCCCATTGCCACCACAGCATTAAAAAATAAATAAATAATAATAATAATAATAATAATAATAATAAAGGTCATTGTTACTTTTTATCTCACTATTTAGATTTTTCAGATACAAACTCAGAATTGAGATATACATTTAAAAAAAAATTTTTTTTTTGAAATGCAAAATATAAACTTAGAATTCTGATTTTTTTTTTTTTTGCAATTTTGATGCAAATTTTAAAATGTTGCAGGTAATTGCAACTTTTATTTGTTTTTATCCCATGGTGGAAAGAAGCTTCCATAACAATATTAAAACTAAATAAATAAATACTATAGAAAAATAATAGAATTGACAAAAACATAACAAAAAAAAACTTTAACGAAAATTTAAACAGACCCTTTAAAATATGAATAAAATAGCACTGGTGCAGCTGCAGTTGTTAAGGATATGGGCTGGACACCATGCGGATGCACCAGCTGCGAGGACACGTGGTCTGTTTGAGGCAGAAGAAGACGATGGGCGCTAGTTCTGGGTACGGGACGACCAGAGCGCTTAACTCACTGCTGACATCATCAGCCACCTGCACCTGCTCCGCAGGCCCCGCCTCCTCCTGCTCAGCAGGCTCCGCCTCTTCTTCAACAAGCCCATCCCAGCCAGGAGAGGCACACAGGTCCATGGGTGGCTCCGCCCCCACCACGGCAGGCCCCTCCTCCTCTGATGTCATGGCTTTGGACCCGCCTACAATGAGAGACAGTTAATGATCACACAGGTTCCTGTCGGAGAAATCAAGTTAAACTAGTTTAAAGAAGAACACCTAGTTCTCAAACACTTTTTCTTAAGTCTCTGGAAAGAGTTATTCCTGCACACATTTATCTATTCATACAGATGAACAAAAATAAACTTATTTTGCTGAGCGGTTGGTAAAGGTGGACCACTGGGTGAAAGCTAAATAAACGGGTTAGTAATAAATCCTCCTGTAGCTGCACATAAAGAATGAGCTGCTCTGAATGGAGAACAAACAAATCAACACACAGTGATGTTCAAGCACTGCATCGGTCCTGCTCGTGATCGTGTGATGCTGCAGTCATCATAACATTTACGCCGACTTACAGTAGAGAAGCATACACGGTCTGTTCTCATCTGTGTGAACGCTTGTGTTGGTATGATTGTCTGACCCTTGTTTGCTAAGGGGTTTAGAGTAATTCATTCATTCTGCTCTTCAGATCTCAGTTCTGGTTAAAGGAACAGTTCAGCCAAAAATGATCACTGTCATTATTTACTTACCCATATGAGATATTTCAATGCCTTTTTTGTTCATACTATGAAAGTCAATGGGGTCCAATATTATTGTTTACGTTTATATCTCCTTTTGTGTTTGAACAGGTTTGGAAAGATATGATGGAGAGTAAATGATAACAGAATGATCAATTCTTGCTGAACCATGCATTTAATGCTATTAGTGTGTGTGTGTGTGTGTGTGTTCAGTGTGTGTGTGTGTGTGTGTGTGTGTGTGTGTGTGCTCAGTGTGTGTGTTCAGTGTGTGTGTGTGTGTCCAAACGTCCGCACAAGCACAGTAAATCAGCTACATTCTATGGAGTCAACAGTCTCAGATGAATAAACACATTAAATCATGTTTTCATTAATATGTAAAAATACAGAGAGGTTTCAGTGCTGCTGTCTGTGGGTTTCCAGGTCAGACAGACGCTGCTGGAGCCAAACACACACACACACTGAACACACACACACACACCTGCAGATACAGAACATTACATTCATGTCTCAAGTGTTTCTCAAATGAGTCTTCTGCGTCTCAGATGTTTCTGTCTCACAAAAAGACTCCAGTAGTCTCACATGCGTCTACACTAGAGTTTCAACAATGTCTCAAACTGTGCTCAGATTTCCCACAATAACAAAGTCTGCAATCAAAACTTCTCAAAAATTCTCCTAGGTTGCATTTTCCAAACCCAACGCAAGCCAATGCAGTCCTGATCCGCTAAGCATTAAGTGTTTATAGACACAGACACTCACACTAACCATCTGCAGACCAAACACACACACACACACATACACACACACACGATGTGAAGTAAACGAGGAGTTTTTAACGAGAGGCCACAGCGCTGGTGACTGTATGAACGGTTTAATGACCCGCTATCAGAGATCAGACGTCACATTCAGTCACTGCACTCACTGACCTGTGAGACCTGAGCTACAGAACATGCTACACTCCATACAGGAGGAGAAAAACACGTCTGCTCTTGATGAGGTCAAAGGTCATGTGTCACTGACCTAGAACAGTCTTACATTCACAAACACAACGAGACTCTGATCAATCTAGAACAGATGAGAACTTCAGTCTTCACATAGAGACAGTGATGGGTTGTTATAATAATTCCCTAACTCAGAATATGGCTATTCTGACAGAATTTGACTATTTAAAATGTAACAAATGGCTTGAATAAAGAGTTGTCCGTTTTATATTCTACATGAATGTATTTCGCAGATGCTTTAATCCAAAGGACTTACATTGAATTGAAGGAATCAAACCCATGACCTTGACGTTGGTAGCATCAAGATCTGCTGTTTGAGCATCACGAATGATGAATGAGCTGAATGAGATTGAACGAGAGTGTCAGTAAAACGATCTGATCTTCCCATCACCTGTGTGTGTGTGTGTGTGTGTGTGTGTGCGTCCTCTTGTTTCACCTCCAATCAGCAGGACATACAGGTGCCTCATTGTAGGATTCAAACTAATTACATTTGCATATGCCCATTTCCTTATTTACCTAATGAACACCTGCTTGAATGACCTTGAATGAAATTATGACACACACACATGTAAAGGCACACACAAACACACACATGCACACACTCACATTCCTTAAGAAAAGAGAAACACCTCACATTAGTATCCACGTTTCAGTCAAACAATGAATCATGGCATAGTTTATTAAGAATTTTAATCTATTTGTTTTTATTTAAATCATATAATCAAAAAGTATTTATTTAAACTGCAGAGACTCAGCATTAAATGAATTACATTAGTCAGTTAAAAACTATGAACATGATTCAAATATGGCTAGATGTGGAATATTCAATTAGTTCAAAATGTATGAGATTGATTGGCTTACATATAATAAATTGGATTTATTGATGAGAAATTTATAAGCGTAATTGTGCATTTAAAACACATTCAGTTTATTACATAAATCTCATTCTTACTCATTTTATGCACGACTGACCACCAGTATGCATCACATTAAGTTTATTACTTTGTTTACAGTGCGTTAAAACTACATCCACTACAACTACAACCGCTTCGCACAAAATAAAACTCTCACTAATAGTACAGGTGAACTCTGGGAAAAATTAAAAGCTATAGGACACAAACAGATGTGTGTGTGTGTGTGTGTGTGTGTGTGTGTGTGTGTGCTGAGAATGTGACGTGTGTTTACAGCCGGAGCGGAGCTGAAACCTGTCTGCTGTATAAACATCCTGACACACATAAATCTCCGTCTCGCTCATCTCTTGCTCTTCCTAAACAAAACACAGACCTGGATTCATTCACAAACCTTCATGACAACACAGCCATGAGCTCAGTAACATACAACAGAACTGAGCAAAGCCAATCAGAGCACGGCTCATTTACATACATGAATGAGTTATGTGATTGAGAAAGTTCTGATTGTAAAGAGTCAAATAAAACTAAATTATGACTGTTTAGGCGTCACTCTCATTATAAAATTCTCCAAAATAAGCCGTTGGGTCATTAAGCACTGCAGCACTTGTAAAAATAGCATGTGATGCGTGTGTTATAAATCAGTGGTGTGTGTTTCCTGTCTGAGAGGGAAGCAGTCATATGTTCCTCATCCAGACAGCTCAGGTGAGTCACATGATTAATGACTCTGAGCCCCTGCAGGAACAACAGAGACTCACTCCAGTCCACACGAGACACTCTCAGACAATCTGAGACACTCAGACACTGTGAGACATGATAAGACATTCTGAGACACACTGCAACACTCTGAGACACACAGAAAGACACTGAGACAATCTGACACAAACTTTGAGACAATCAGACACTGTGAGACATGAGATACTCTGAGACACACTGAGAAACTCTGAGACAATCAGACAGTGTGAGACACTGAGACAATCTAAGACACACTGAGAAAACTCAGACACTGTGAGACATGGTGAGACACAGAGATACTCTGAGACACGCCTAGACACATTGAGAAACTGAAACACTCAGTGTGAGACACACAGAGACACGCCAAGAAACTTTGAGACACTCAAACACTGTGAGACACACTGAGGCACTCAGAGACACACCAAGACAATCTGAGACACACAGAGACACATTAAGAAACTGAGACACTCAGACAGTGTGAGACACAGAGATGCAACAAGAAACTTTGTGACACTCAGACACTGTGAGACATGAGACATTCTGAGACACTCAGACACTCTGAGACATGAGACGCTCTAAGAAACTCTGAGACAAGTGTGAGACACACTGAAACATGCTGACACAATCTGAGACACACAGAGAAAACTCAGACACTGTGAGACCATCTGAGACATGGTGAGACACAGAGATACTCGGAGACATGCCTAGACACACCAATAAATACTGAGATACGCCAAGACACATTGAGAAACTGAAACACTCAGTGTGAGACACACAGAGATACGCCAAGAAACTTTGAGATACTCAGACACTGTGAGAAACACTGAGACACTCACAGAGACACACCAAGACAATCTGAGACACACAGAGACACATTGAGAAACTGAGACACTCAGACAGTGTGAGACAAGAGACATTCTGAGACACACTGAGAAACTCAGACACTCTGAGACATGAGATGCTCTGAGAAACTCTGAGACAAGTGTGAGACACACTGAAACATGCTGACACAATCTGAGACACACAGAGAAAACTCAGACATTGTGAGACCCTCTGAGACATGGTGAGACACAGATACTTTGAAACACACTGAGACAAGCCAAGACACACCAAAAAACTAAGACACACAGAGAAAACACAGACACTGTGAGACCATCTGAGACACACCAATAAACTCTGAGACACACTGAGACGCTCTGAGAAACTCTGAGACACAGATTCAAACATCCTCAGAAGATCCAGAGCACAAGCACCTGTTCAGCGTCACACAAACATCCCATCAATCCTCACACTCGTACAGTTAAACACGGACACAGAAACCCTGTTTAAGGCCCTCGGCCTTCTCACGAATATTAAAAACACACATCTATTGACCCAGGAAACACTCATCCATCTGCTGTCAGCTCAGAGACGGAGAACAGCAGCACTACACCGGGACACAAACCACTTCCTGTCTGATCACATGACCTGGACTGACGCCACAAACACTTCACTTGCTTTCTATCAGAGATTCATCCCAGACCAACTCAGAAATGTTCTACAACAGCTCTGATCACAGTAAAACAGGACACAAACACACGATGAGTCTGAATAATGCTGCATTTAGATGGGAGTCCTAAACCCGGATGCTCTAGGTCAGTCATTCTAAAGAGATTTTATGAAAAAGTATTTTTATGAACAAAACTGGGAAACACAGGAGCAATAGTTAAAAGGAATAAAATATGAAATGATTTCTTGATTTGTATGTTTTTAAGCATTTTAATTAAGTTAAATCATTTGAATTTACATAATTTAATACTTTTTTTTAGTTTTTTGTTTTTTTGAG